GAGCAGAATACTAAGGATTTCAGTACGAGTTTACAAAATCCTTAATGTGTTGTCAAATCTAATCTAACAGGCTGCTTCAATATAAACAATGGATCAAGGACCGAAAATACACAAATGGAAAATAACATGAAGGGCATCTGTGGCAAAAAATAGGAAACATCTGTATACAACTGTTTCTTTCTCCTGTGGTTTTCAACCCTCACATTTACACAAGGTATGTAAGGTGTCAGAAACTGCCCAGTCATGTTATTGATGCTAATAACCTCAGACCTTTAAAAGCAGGTAGAACGAGAGCATTTGATCAATCTTCTACTTGTAATCAGAAAGCATGATGACTCAAAATGGCTTGTTCATAACCCTCTTCCTACACAGGAAGATTCCTATACAGTTACGATTAAGACCAGGGGTGGGCAAGAGTGACCACACATATTCTTTTCCAAACCACTGAGCGAATCAATATAAACTTCTTTATCTCACATTTCAGGAGCCTCAAGCCCAAAAGCTCTGACATAAACAGTAGCCTAACCCTTTAAAGTGGGCCCTCTAGTGGCTACAATCAGAATCTGCACGAGAAGCGTGATTGAACAAGTCATTATCATTCAGGACATGTTTGTGTACGATTTGACCATCTGCACCTTCACTTCTGTCCGCTGTATCAGCAGTGCCTCACGGGCATCTGGGATTATCATTGACAGTTGTAAAGTTGTTCTCTCTGTCGTGGGTAATGGTGATAGCAGACCTTCATTTGGCAGACCAAGAGCTTGAACAGTAACTGTTTCCATTCACATTCAAAGCTGTCTACTTCATCATGCATCAGTTAGGAAAATGTTATGTTACATTTTGTGTACGTGACATGCCAGGCAGCTGGAGTAATGGGCGGCTCTGTGGTTTTAAGGGGTGCTAATTCGATTTTCAGATCCCGGGCACTGCTGCCAGGTGCCGTTCTGCAGCAGCCAAGACACTCACTTGTCCTGCAGCTCTCCACAGCGCCGGCTCTCCTCAAAGCGGCAAAGCTTGGC